TCTCCCAGGTCAATCCTGATGATATTGTGTTTGGAGGATGGGACATAAGTGACATGAACTTGGCCGATGCCATGGCCAGAGCTAGGGTCCTTGATATTGATCTGCAAAAGCAGCTGAGACCCTACATGGAATCCATGGTCCCACTTCCTGGAATATTCAATCCCGATTTTGTTGCTGCGAATCAGGGCTCTCGAGCCAATAACGTTATCAAAGGCACCAAGAAAGAACAACTCCAGCAAGTCATTAAAGATATCCGGTATATATTTTACAGTTTATGTCATTCAAACATTAAAGTTTTCAAGTTTTCATAACCTTTGACTGCATATTATATGTTTTCCTAAAAGTGAGTGAGCTATGTGGGATCATATGGCGGCAGCTGCTGTACTTTCTGTCGTTTTATGCTTTCAACAATATATATGCTTGTGAGGAATCTAGTTTTACTCTTTTGAAAACTTTGTAATTTATTAGGGAATTTAAGGAAAAGAGTAAGGTGGACAAAGTTGTAGTGCTGTGGACTGCCAACACAGAGAGATACAGTAATGTGCTTGTGGGGCTCAATGACACAATGGAAAGTCTTCTGGCTTCTGTGGACAAAAATGAGTCGGAGATCTCTCCTTCCACACTGTATGCAATTGCTTGTGTTCTTGAAAATGTCCCTTTCATCAATGGTAGCCCACAGAACACTTTTGTCCCAGGTATCATCCTTTCTTCGCCTCGTAAAACTTGCTACTTTTTTACTTCGAATTCGCTCAACTTCGTGGGATTTTGTTTACAGGGTTGATTGACTTGGCCATTCATAGAAATAGTTTGATTGGAGGGGATGATTTTAAGAGTGGTCAGACCAAGATGAAATCTGTACTTGTAGACTTTCTTGTTGGTGCTGGTATTAAGGTACCTCATAATTCTTTACCAAAGGGTTACAAAATTTTGGGTATTCTAAAATATATTTTGTGGACTTTTGGTGGCAGCCAACATCAATAGTGAGCTACAACCATCTAGGAAACAACGATGGAATGAACCTGTCGGCCCCTCAAACCTTCAGATCCAAGGAGATATCAAAGAGTAACGTTGTCGATGACATGGTCTCGAGCAATGGCATTCTTTATGAGCCTGGCGAGCATCCTGACCATGTGGTGGTCATTAAGGTATAATCATTTAAGTTTCCCGAAATCAAAACTATTATACTTACTCAAAGATGGAATTCAAATATCTTGGATATGAACTGTCATATATATTGAGTGTAATTTTGTTAAATCCTCCTCCCTGGTTTTGAAATGGAAAATTTCAGTACGTTCCATACGTGGGGGACAGTAAGAGGGCGATGGATGAGTACACTTCAGAGATATTCATGGGTGGAAAAAGCACCATAGTGTTGCACAACACCTGCGAGGACTCTCTGTTGGCCGCTCCGATCATACTCGATTTGGTTCTTCTTGCTGAACTCAGCACTCGCATTCAAATCAAGGCCGAAGGAGAGGTGAGTTTGATCAAATTCACCTAACAAAAACCTAACCCATCGTCTGTTTTCCATTTTGAAATGAATCTAAACAAGTGATGAAATGGTTTGATTTGTAGGGAAAGTTTCACTCTTTCCATCCTGTGGCCACCATCCTCAGTTACCTTACAAAAGCTCCTCTTGTAAGTTTTTACACAACCCCATCTGAAACCTTGAACTTTCATGTGATGATTTGAGTACATTTCTGAATCCAAAAATGGTTGTAAATGGTGAAAACAGGTACCACCAGGCACGCCCGTGGTGAACGCTCTGTCGAAGCAGCGCGCCATGCTGGAGAATATAATGAGAGCTTGTGTTGGGTTGGCACCTGAAAACAACATGATTTTGGAATACAAGTGAAGCCTGAAAGTGTCCTGAGTTTAATAGGAAATTGGTTATCTTTTCTATATGCTTGTGAAAATATGCAATTAGTTTCTGTTTGGTCCTCTCCTCTTTTTTGGTTTGTATGTCCTCTTTTTATATTCGGCTTGGGGAAGTTGTTTATTAGTGGGCAAGCCATGTCTGTAATGGAACTATACATATTCTAAAAATAAACTAGCTTTTTCGATGTAACGACCCAACTTAAGAATAAGGGACAATCGCATAGTTTCGTTGTCACACAACTTCAGGACACCCTCGTCACCAATCAAACAACGATGAGTGAACCATAGGTGATAATCTAAATTCTCTCTTAGGTCGTTAACTATAATCATGTTAAGATTAAAACTCGAATTACTCTTCCAACATATTCACAGTCAAATAGTATTATTTCTTCCTCGCACCCATGTGCATACCTTCGTCCCAGCTTCTTATGCATTTCTCTGGTTAGCGTGTTTAAACTCCTATGGTTTTCAGTTGCTTGATCGAACTATTGTAACACATTACTATAAGCTTAAAGGTAATGATAATGGAGGCCTACTAACCGTCAATATAAAGGAAATTGACCCGATAAGATGACAGAGATGTAACTAAAAGTAATTCCCTTTAAAAAAACGTGATTAATTTTGTGTTTGATTATCGAATTGAAAGGTGGTGGGACAACCCAATAATCAAATGGGCTTATATTTAACACCACAAAATGGCACCAATAATTTGGATGAAGAAGACAAATTCCATTGGTCAACAACTCTTAATAGTAAAAGGATTCCATTGCCCTTGAAGTGACTCTAACCTTATCTCCAAACTGTTTGGAATAGTGTAAATCGTGTATATTATGCATTTGCTTTGTGTCCATTTCTTATTTGGCCTTACACTCGCTTCGACTTTCATTTCAAACGTAAAACCAATCAACTTTAGCAAAAGGCACACCACGTAAAGTTGTAATTTTGTTAGTAAGTATTCGCTCAATAACAATAAAAACCGATTAAAAAATTAGTATATGTTTTGATTCGATTTAGGAGTGTTCATATAGTCTGTCACCAATAACCCAACTACCCATCCCAAATTCTAAGGATTTGGTTGGGTTATAATTTTTTTTTCCTGGTTTGACTAAATGTTTTTATCGATCCAAAATTTGGTTCAATTTGTAGGTTACAACTTGTTTGGTAACTTGAAAATACGGTTCACAACTCAACTCAACTCAATTTTTAAGATTGTTACAAAGATTAAGAACGTTTGACATTTACCTCATAAGGTGAATGTTTGATATCTAATTTTTACGAAATTTTAGTTATTAATACAATATATTTTAAGAATAAGTCCGAAATTTTTTAGATGATCGAGCACGATGGTTTGTGAACGCTACAAACTTGATATATTGGATTGGTGTTTAAAAAAACTGTAGTTTAGACTCCTAATTTTGAACCTATGATTAATGAGAGTTTGAGGTTAAAAAAAAAAAAAAAATTAATTGGAGGTTGAATATTTTATGTAATTGAAAAATAATTGAGGTAGAATAATTATTAAATGGGCTCAAATCGGCCCATCACTTAAAATAAAGTCCAAACTGGCCCAATCCTAATAAATAGAGCCCCCAAAGCTAATCCTATATATATATATTATATATATATAGTTTTGTCCATTTATCATATTTTCCATCTTTTTTTTTTTATAAAATAAAGATGGTAACTTTCATCCCTCAATTATACTAAATATTTTTAATATTAAATGCTAAGGAGAGGTCAAACCACGATGGTTGAGTAGAGAAAAATTGATGTAAAAATTACATACGACGATGACATCCACTTTAAACATGAACTCATAAACGACACGACAATAAAATAAGTAGTGACATGGTTGATGACATAAATACTATGTTCATTATCTACTGATTCAATATCAATAATATTATTACTTCACTTCGGAGTTTTTAGTTGGATAAATTTTAATGATGGAATAATAAGTTAATTTCATTGATTGATTGTATCATTAATCATTTCTTTCTTTTGGTGTGAAGAACTTATTATGAATTCACTGATTTCTGCCGCTTCAGTTATTGCTGCTGAATTGGCCGTTTCTAGTGTTCTAATAAAATTTTTAATGTAAAATTGGCAAATTTAAATTTTAATACCTCAACATTATTTACTGACCCCTAAAAAAATAAATAAATATAATTATATATTAAATTAGTGTAACAGTCTAAGTCCACCACCGGTTGATATTGTCCTCTTTAAACTTTTCCTTCCGAGCTTCTCCATAAGATTTCCACACCCTTATAATGCATGTTTCGTTATTCTCTCCAACCGATGTGAGATTTAATTTTGTACTTTAATATACATATAAAAGTGGGGTAGAACGGGGATTGAAGTAGGACCGGGACAAAGGACAAAGAATGCAATCTCGTCATTGACTCAATTTAGCTAACGGGTAAAAATCCTTCCCTACTCACAACTCCACTCACTGTCAAAACGTAAATTCTCCATCCCGTTCAAAGCAGGTCCCACAAATAAAATAAACATCTCTAATAGAATACGGTTGATAAATTTCGTGTTTTGTGATCTTACATTCTTGGTTTAAATAAGCAAATACAATACGATTTAATATTAGATTATGAAATTTTGTATTATAAGTGTGAATATGATTAGAAAATTAGCCATATGGGACCCTTTTGCCCCGTTGATTTTGGGGTTACCCTACTCCCTTATAGCTTCAATCATTTATTTTCATAATCATATAATTCAAACGCAATCACTGTCTCTTACCCTACAATAATTTACCCACTCCCTCCATTATTTCTTCACTTCCAAACCCTTACAAAATTACACACATCCACACCATGCAACACCTTCGCATTACAAAAATCCCGACCCCTCGGGTCCTGATTCTATTCCTTTAGAGTAACGGTCTAGATCCACCGCTAGCAGATATTGTCCTCTTTGGACTTTTCTATTCGGGTTTATTCTCAAGACTTTAAAACACATCTACCAAGTGAAAGGTTTCCACCCCCTTATAAATAGTGCATCACATTTACGTTCTCTCGACTTCACCTAAATCCTTATAATCGTAACGTTTTTTTATTTCATCTCTATACTTTCTTTAAACCAAATCAAAACTCGAATCAAATTGAAAAAACAAAAATCGCAATATTTTTAAACAAAAACGTGCATATCGATTTCTGATTCATAATCATACAAACATATATAATACTTGAAAACCCATCTAAAATCCGCTGCCACAATCTGACCTTTCTTTATGCCTGCCACCGCCGCCGCCGCCGTGGCCGGTGGTGGTGCCCTTTTCTTTTGTGAAATCTTGTTCCATCTTCTTCTCTCTACACTCAGCACTGCAAAAAGCTGTATCTCCCCTACACACAAAACTCAATTTTAAACAATAATTTAAACCAAAAAAATAAAATAAAAATAAAGCTTGAATTAATGAGTTATTATTAACAAAACCCATCAATTTTTTTTGGGGAAAGTATTGAAATTTATAAAAAAAAAAAAGAAAAAGAAAAAAAGAGAGGATAAAATTAGAGATTCATACATGTACATGTAAATGTCACGGGCGGGGGAGAGACGGCGGTGACAGAAGGTGCAAGTGCGAAGAAAGTGGAGAGAAGAAGGGTCATCGGAGTGTTTGTTAAAGGCGGAGAGATTTCTCCGGCCTCTTGGTGACACAAAAGATAAGGTGTAATTCATTTGATCAGTCTCCGGATTTTGGGTGGCGATCACCGGAGGAATATCTCCGGTGCCGGAATTGTGATGATTGGATGGCTGTTCGCCCTCCACGTGGCTGAGATCCACCGTGATTCCTGATATACTCGCCGTTCTTTTCATCTGCGGCCGTGGACGCTTCCTTAGTATCATCTTCTTCTTCTTCTTCCTCAGAGAGAGAGAATAAGAAGATGCAGAGTGAATGATTATTATTATTAAAATAAATAAATAAATAAATAAATAAAAACAAAAAAACAAAAAGGGTATATATTACAAGTTTGTGCTTTGAGTCTACTTTTTAGTTCATATGATTGTGATATTTTTCTTAAAAAATTTCTTAATTTGTTAAATTACTGATTATTTCAAATTTTGGTATGTCAGTGGAGACTAACTTTATTACTTAAAAAAAATAAATTAATAAAAATATCATGCTTTCAAAAAATTTAATAATACAGAAATCACTGCAAGGGAGTAAGATTTGAATTATCTTGTTGATCGAATATCTTACGATAAGAATACTTGTTTGAGATTCAAATCACTCCACAAGCAACATTGATCATGTCGAGCTTGAATGATTTGCAACCGAAACTACATAGAATTGCAAAGAAACTTAGTCATTGTCTAAAAAAATAGCACAAATGCCTCTTTTACTGTATTTTCCAAGTCTGCTTACAAATACAATATACATGACTTTATATAGCCTTAAAATGAAACAAGTCTTAAAATACATTAATGAAATACAGTAACTCTAAATTGTAATCCACCCAAAATTTATAATATGAAACTTCATTCTTCTTCAATGTGACATGAATTGAAATATCTTTTGATAATTTCAACAATTTTTTTTTCACATCTCCATTGAAGTAGATTGTATGATTGATGTCTCTTGGTTCATATCATACATTATTATTATTTTTGGATAAAATTCATTAACATTTTGCCAATATTTTAAATTTTAAAAAATTTCATTAATATGATGTTACTTCAAAAATATCCTATTTTAATATTTTTAAAGTAGCATTAACACCTTTTATCTTTGCACAAAGTTCAGAGAAATAATTACAGTCAATTTATGAATAAAAATCATTTATCAGTCCCGCGTAAATTATTTCCTTTTTAACGTTACTTTTGAAGTTGATGAATATTTTTTAAACGTGGTAGTAATTATAAGAATATTTTGAACTTTAGAGGTATTTTTGAAATTCTTTTAAAAAAATGTTTTAAAGGGTATTAATAAACTTTTGAAGACTTCTGGAATACTTTTGAAATACGGAGAATTTATGAAAGCTGTATTTTTGAACTTCATCCAAAACTAACGGTAATAATTATTTGAATTTTTTTTTTTTAAAGTTTAAAGATATTTTTGAGAGAATATGCAAAATTAAAAGATAATTTTTATTAATCTAACGTTAAAAAAATCAACGATAAATTTATAACCATTATTGTTGTAACATTAAAAATGAAACAAAACTATATTATAACCCAAAAAAATTATCCAAATATAATTTGATACATTTGAAAATCATTAGATTCTTCATTCTTGAAATTAAATAATATTAAAATTGTTATAATAATTATTAAATAAAAACCAAATGCAAATTATTGGGATTAAAATGATAATGTTTTTTAATAAAGAAAAGAGTGAATGATAAGAGGAAAGTTGATCACATGGAAGAGAGAAGACAAGTAAAGGTCTTAACCTTACGCCCCATAATTAATTATAATGTATTTTGGATATAAAATTCCAATTTTATATTGTTTTCTAAGTATGGATATATACTTATTTTATTTAAATCATTCAACCAATTTATTATTACGAGTTTGAACAGAGGATTCACATGCACATGGACCTCAGGCAAGCTTGTATATGTATATATCCTTTGGGGCCTGACCTTCGACTAGCGTACGCTCACACTGCTAGTATGTCACGGAAGGAAGGGAACACACATAGTATCATAGTGTACATAATACCACATCATAACATTGTAGTGTATGCATGTGTACTAATTATAACAGGGAAGTATCCCGATACATGTGAACATACAATATACATGAGGCCACCATAGTTCAAAATCATGGCATGTATATGTAACATCATCGTTTAATGTCATTTCAAAATATAATGTATAACACAGTACCACACTTTTCATAACATAGCATAATCATCAATGACATAACGCGTCAATATGATATTTAATAACATGACATGTCTCATATTACAACGTAACATAATAAACAAGCATTAAACAATTACAAGGTACAACACGTGCAAGGACCACTGGGTATGTGTCGTTTATATTTCAAACAGTTCATCCAACCAAACTAGTAGATGAATCACTTGCTTGGTTGGTCTACTCCTCGAAATCAAATTCAACCGACATGGTTTCATATATTTATTTATTTATTGAACTTACAAATTTTAATAACTTAAATATGACAATTTTGGGACTTTAAGTCCCTTATATACGTCAACATAAACAATAATTCAATGGATTAAAGCATATTTCTCGAGCATGATTTTTTATTTTATTTTATTTTGACTTATGTTCGAATCTACTCGCCAAATGTCGAAAATACATTCATCAAACAAATAGTCAAATTTGGAAAGTAATAGGATGGGAACACCATCATTTTCATTTTGGCCTCTTGTCGGTGACATGACACTTAACACATGTCAAAGCAACAACCCCACCACGGTGGGACAAGAAATCTAAGATTTTCTTTCACTCTTTGGTCTTACAAGTTAAATATGTTAGAAATTACGACTCTCCACAATAATATGATATTGTTTACTTTGAGCACAAATTCTCATGAATTTGCTTTTAGTTTTTCCGAAGAGTCTCGTATCAATAGAGACTATTTCATTTTCCAACGTGGAACTCCTCTCCCAAGAGTGCTCGTCGAAAAAATACATCTCAATTCGAGACCGAGACGTATCTAGCCTTGGTGGTCTAGCAGGTCCCACCATTCTAATAATTTAAAATAATTTTTTCAAAAATCAAAACCTACAAAGAAAAGCTTTTCCAGAAACACAAACATTTATATCATAGGCTTTAAGCTCCAACGTCTGTAATATTCATTTCCATATCCATCACATATAAACGAGCAAATTTTCATTCTTCTTTACCCATGGCCATCAAGAACTCACCTTCGCACACGACTTCGCCTCCGACGTACGCCTTCCCTTCCATTTTGGCAATTCCGAACTTCTTCTGCAACTTGACAAGAGTCATTCGCATCACCAATGTGTCTCCTGCGATCACGGGTTTTCGGAACCTCACTTTGTCGATTCCAGCGAAGAAGAAGTTGTCGCGTGAGCCTCCCACCTCTGGTTGCAGCATAACTAGACCGCCTACTTGAGCCATTGCCTACAAACCCAACAATGTCATAGAGCTTTATTAACAACTATATTTAAGTATCATAAAAACATGGAGATCATATTTGGAGATCTTCATCACACAAGGATTATACCTGTCCTCTGTCATGACAGCTTCATACTAGTACAAGATCTTGTGAAATTCATTGAGAAATAAAAAGGATGTGTTATTCATGAGAAAGGTCTAACCAAACGATGCTGAAATAAAAAGGAGTGTCCGATAAATAATCGATGGCACTAGCAGCCTATTGGATGCTGAAAATGAGAGGGATTTCATCACCTTTTTCACCTTTTTCACCCACGGCTGGTTGGACCCTGTGAGATCTCACTTCGATTGGAGAGGAAAACGAAACATTCCTTATGAGGGTGTAGAAATCTCTCCCTAGTAGGCGCGTTTTAAAACCGTGAGGCTAACGGCATTACGTAACAGGCCAAAAGGGCAATATCTGCTAGCGGTAGGATTGGGTTGTTACAAATGGTATCAAAGGCAGGTTCCGTGAAGTGTGCCAGCGAGGACGTTGGACCCCCAAAGGGGTTGGATTGTGAAATCCCACATCAGTTGGAGAGAGGCATGGAGCATTCCTTATGAGAATGTGGAAACCTCTCCCTAGTAGACGCGTTTTAAAACCGTGAGGCTGACGGTGTTACATAATGGGCCAAAAGGACAATATTTACTAGCTGTAGGCTTGGATTATTACAAATGGTATTAGAGGAAGGTTCTGTGCAATATGCCAGCGAGGACACTAGACCCCAAGGGGGGTGGATTGTGAGATCCCACATCGGTTGGAGAGGGGAACGAAACATTGTTTATAAGGGTGTAGAAACCTCTCTCTAGTAGACGCGTTTTAAAACCGTGAGGCTGACAACGATACTTAACAGGCCAAAGCGGACGATAGCGGTGGGCTTGGGTTGGTTACAAACCCTCCCGAATATTACTCAATGGGACCATATTTCAGATCATTCAGCTTCACAGCTTGAACGTAACCAGAGTTAAGAAATTTACTATGCTGTTTTCTGAATTAGGCACTAAAAAATCCCCCGGGTCCTGATGGTATCATGCTGAAATCTCCAAAAGAATTGGAACTTTCTTAAAAGTGACACAATGAGAGCGTTCCAAGATATTTTAAGAACATGGATTATCAATGCCTCACTCAACGAGACACACATGCCTCATTCCAAAGAAATTGGAGTCTCGCACAGTTCATGACTACAGACCCATTAGCCTCAGCTCTTTCCTGTGGCTAGAGTTCTTTCTAAAAAACTAAAGAAGGTTCTTCCGCATACTATCTTTGTGGTTATGGACGGTTAATATCGGTAACAGCTCAAGTCAACCGCTAGCAGATATCGTCCTCTTTGAGCTTTCCCTTCAAAGATTTTAAAATGCGTTTACGAGGGAGCGGTTTCCACCCTTAGGAATGTCTCGTTCTCCTCTCTAATCAATGTGGGATCTCACAATCTATCCCCTTTGGAGGTCTAGCATCCTCGCTGGCACACCGTTTGTTGTCTGGCTATGATACCATTTGTACTCTTGGGTTTTTCCTTTCGGGCTTTCCCTCAAGATTTTAAAACGCATTTACAAGGAAGAGGTTTCCACACCCTTATAAAGAATGCTTCATTCTCCTCTTCAACTAACGTGGGATCTCACAATCCATCCCCTATGGAGGCCTAGCATCCTCCTAGCACACCGTTTGGTGTCTGGCTATGATATCATTTGTCCTCTTTGGGTTTTTCCTTTCGGGCTTTCCCTCAAGATTTTAAAACGCGTTTAAAAGGAAGAGGTTTCCACACCCTTATAAGGAATGCTTCGTTTTCCT